ATGTATACATTTGCCAAAAGAGGTGAGAGTGGAGATCCCATCGGTAGTCCAAATATTTGCTCGTAGATATTGCTGTTAAATGTAAAATATGTGGCCCTTACTGTCAGGTTGATCAGTCGTGTTAACGATTCTTTCCGTATCCGTGCTGCCTCCAGGATGTCCTCTTGCTTCAATATAACCAGGGAATTCAAACGAACGAATTAGAAAGTTAGATTATTTCAAAGAGTGAAATTGGTATACACTTACCAAGAAATCAAATTTAGAAACTGCTGGAGTTACGTGTATAGTGCCAAAATATATAGTACACAATGCATTTAAAGGTAAAAAAAAAGATAATCGCTGCATACTCACTGCTCAGGCTAGCCATAGCTAACCTGGTTTCACAGAACTATTTGAATTACCCTTAGCATCTCCATTTGGTGATGATGCGAATTCATGTCTAGCAGGGGCAGAAGCAATATCTGCTACCATCTGAGGCAAGACTTTAGTTGGAATAGACCGAGGATCTGGTGCAGCGACAATTGGCACAAGCTCCCAAAGTGCCGAGTCATAGAGGTTGTCGTGACGGATCTGAGGGTCGTAGCGACCACCGAACACAAAGAGTCGACCATGATGTGCAAGAAGACTGGGGAAATCACGGGGCAGAGGGCTAGTGCCCGGATAGTTGTCAAGTAAGCGATTAAGTTCAGCAACATCTTCCTGCCAGCCAGCGTCATGGTCACTGACATCCCCGGCGTTGTTGGGATCACTTTCACTATTGGCTGCGGCTGCAAAATTCAAGTCTCCAGCAAAATCAGATTCTGCTTGTGTTGGTGCCCCGAGCATTTGACTATCCCTAGCCTGAACTGCAATTGAGGCTTGGAGATTTAACGGCTGTGCTAGCGATGCATCACCAGACGGTCCCACATTTTCGCCAGCTTCGCTGTGGACAGGTTGAAATTCCTCACGTATATCACAATAGTTGTAACCGTTAGCAGCGGCAAAAAGAGAAGAGTGAAGACAAGGAATATTTTCCGGTATGCGTCGCCGGCTGGTGGGTGGAGAAACATAGGAGGGAGAAGGAAATGGCGGCCTCAAAAGAGAAGGGTTCAATAATGCTGACTGGGGATAGGCACGGATCAGACTCCAAGACCAAGTAAGAAGATCAAGTCGATAGACCGAGTTATCATAGGTCTGATTCTACACATAGGGAGAATATAATTAACAAATGAAAATGATGTTAAAAGGTTGGTTATAAATAAGCAAAGAAAATAAGTTTTTAAATTTACCTCTTGATTTAAAATTAATGAGTAAACTTCCAGGTAAAGTGAAAGTTTGTGGTTAAGATGCTTATAGCTAAAATTACTTATAGGAATGGTGATCAGCTCTAATGTCTTCATAAAATAGACGAAATATCATCAATTTTTCATCGGAACTGAAGGAGATTGCCTCGAAGACAACAGCAACCAGAACCCTGAAGTAAGTCTAAACTATAGCTGGCCAGGAGAAATCAGAAGTCGAACAATTTACGAGTAACCTATTCCCGCACATGATCTAAATGGAAGTAAGTTCAACATTTTTATATATATAGTGACCAATAGACATTAAATAATTGTAGATATAAAGAACAAGATTGTTTGTCCGCAGTTTTCTTTAGCTTTATAGTATTTATTCGATCTTGTTTTCGAAAATTGGTCGAAGCGTCAGAGACCTTGTGGAACCTATCTAGTCCGGTATCATCTGCCATAATATTCATTATTCCCAGCATTGGACCATTTGCTGAAAACATTCCCAAACGTTTCGCCGGAATCGCCAATGAGAGGCGCCATCGTAAGCATAGAGTTACAACTTATCAAAGTGGCAAATAAAAGCAATCCCTTTGACAAATTTTCTGTTCAACTGTTGTAACATCACCCATTGCCCATATTTTTTGTTATACCTTCTAGTGCGGCATCTCTTTTTCTAAACCCAACTTCATATCGCCTATCCGCCTATTCATACAATTCTGTGCTCTCATTTCCGCCATCGTCGCTCCAAGTCTGCTTAGGCAGTACACGAAATTATCGCTGACTCTTCTCTCTTCTAATCTCTTGTTCATCAGGTTTTCTTCGAAAGAATATG